ATGTACTCTTCCTATCATCCACATCTCCAGCATAGTCGCTATCTGTAAACGCTAACAGCTCACCATCTCCTCCTTTCTTATAATGAAGTCCATAATTTAAGGTCCCCTTTAAATATCGAAGTACTCTCTTAGCCAATTGTAGATGAATCTGCATTGGTTTGGCCATATATCTACTTATGAGACAAGTAACAAACATGATGTCGGGTCTTGTGGCAGTGAGGTACATTAAACTTCCCACTAGCTGCTTGTAGTATGTTTCATCAATAGCATTTCCATCTCCATCTCTACTTATTTTAAATCCTGGAACTATTGGACTGCTCACTGAGTTGCTTTCCATCATGACAAACCTTTGCAAAACTTCTAATCCATATTTTCTTTGACATATATATATACCATCAGATTTTTGCAAAACCTCTATCCCAAGAAAAAACCTCATCTTACCCAAATCCGACATATCAAACTCTCTTAACATAGAGCTTTTAAATTCAGACATCATAACTTCACAATTTCCAGTAAAAATTAAATCATCAACATAAACACTTACAATTATAATTTTTCCTTCTTTGCTTCTCTTTGTGAATAATGTCTGCTCACTATCACACCTCTGAAATCCTTCACCAATGAAATGTGCTTCGATTCGACTAAACCAAGCTCGTGGTGCTTGTTTTAATCCATACAAAGCTTTGTGTAACTTGTAAACAATATGCTTACTGCCTTCTTTTTCGTATCCTCTTGGCTGTTCCACATAAACATCTTCACTCAGCTCACCATGGAGGAAAGCCGATTTGACATCCAACTGAAAAATCTGCCAACTATTATATGCCGCTAGAGCAACAATCATTCTCACTGTATCCATCCTTGCCACTGGTGCATAAACTTCTGTGTAATCCACTCCATGCTTTTGAGAATACCCTTTAGCAACCAAACGAGCCTTGTACTTGTCAATTTTTCCATGCTCATTGTATTTGGTTTTATAAACCCATTTTACTCCAATTATTTTGGCCCCAACAGGTGGTTGAGTGAGTGTCCATGTATGATTCTTTTCAATGGATTTGATTTCATTATCCATGGCCAATTTCCAATTTTTACTCTTCGCTGCTTCTTCAAAATATAATGGATCAGTTGACACCATTAAAGCCAAGTGGTGTTCATCGTCAGACAAACCTTCACCACTAACATAATCATTCATCCATGCTGGAGGTCGCCTCACTCTCTCTTCACCATCACTATAATCATCCCCCGTTTCTCCAACTCCCTTGTTATGGGTTTCGCCAAACTCCCTGTCAACATTTTCTTCATTCTCATTTTCACCTGTCATTTCTTCATTTTCAACACTATCCCATTCTAAATCTAGCATTGTTTGTTTTTCATTCCAATCCCATTTCTTTTCCTCCTCAAAGATAACATCTCTACTCACGACAACTTTCTTAGCAATCGGATCAAACAACCTATATCCTTTTGATTCTTCACTGACTCCAAACAAAACGCACACAATGCTTCTATTGTCAAGTTTAGTCCTCCTTGCTTCTGGAACATGAGTGTGTGCTATGCACCCAAAGACCCGAAAGTGATTAACTGAGGGTTTTACTCCACTCCAAGCCTCCTCTGGTGTTACATCCTTGACTGCCAATGTAGGACACCTGTTTAGGACATAAACAGTCCAATTTACTGCCTCTGGCCAGAAGGTTTTGGGAATGTTTTTATCAGATAGCATGGAACGAACCATGTTCATAACAGTTCTGTTTTTCCTCTCAACAACACCGTTTTGTTGTGGAGTATAAGCAGTGGTTAATTGTCTCTTAATCCCACTTTGTTTGCAAAAATCATTGAACTCATTTGAATTAAATTCACCTCCTCTATCAGTGCGTAGACACTTAATAGACATCTCAACTTCCTTCTCAACCATGATTTTGAAGCATTTGAAAGAATTTAAAGCCTCTGACTTTTCTACCAAAAAATACACCCATGCTTTTCTACTGTAATCATCAATGAATAACATGATGTACCTTTTGTTGCTGTTAGATATGGGACTAATAGGACCACAAATATCTGAATGAATGAGTTCTAACTTCTGAGTTGCTCTCCAATTACTCTTCCTTGGAATAGTGTCACGATGTTGCTTTCCGTTGATGCAATCAGTGCATGTCACATTGGAGATAGAGAGTTGAGGAAGTCCACGAACCATATTCTTGTACAACAATGTTTTCAAGCCTTTGTAACTTAAATGTCCATACCTTCGATGCCAGAGATGAGACAATTCTTGAGCTTTTGTGTGAAAGCACTGATCAGATTGTACTTGTGAAAAGGCTTGAGTTTGGGGCAACAAGATAAACATCCTATTGGTACTCATGTTGGTTTGAATAATCAAACCCTTCTCTGGATGAAATATCTTGCAACTTCCTTTCTTAATCAAAATTGTCAAATCCTTTTCTTGCAATTGCCCTATGCTTAAAAGATTATTTTTTCAGTTCTGGAATGTAGTATACTTCAGTAACAGCGAGATTCATTCCATTTAGCAGCAACTTCACACTTCCTTTTCCCATCACATTCATCTTAGTGTTGTTTCCCAATTTTACAGAATGTCGGAATTTTTCATCAAGTTCATTGAACATTGTTCGATCCCCGCACATATGATTAGAACATCCTGAATCAAGGAACCATGCATCTTCTCTTTTAGCTTCATAGAAATCCACATAAGACATCAAAATCATTTCTGATTCTTCGTCAAATTCTGCATAATTAGCTTCTTTGTTGCGAGGACATTCATAACGGAAATGGCCAAGTTGATGACATTGGTAACACT